TCGCAAGGTTGATGTGCACTTTGGAAAATCGAGTTGTCCAGGTTGTTCAAATGTTTTAAAGCTCTTAATTTCAATTTACATTTGTTTTCGTAACTCATTAATAACATTTTTCTAGATCTCGATTACTCTTTTTTCTGTCGTTATCAATATGCTCACGAAACTGAAGATTCATTCTTGTCTTTCCATCCGGGATTACTTCCTAAAAAGGATGGATTAATATGCGGCTGTAAAAAACCCGAAACTAATTATTATGAGGAGTTTATTGAAAAGTATAATGTTAACGATTGTATTCTATTAATACCACTTAAAGGAGACATTTTGGATTTGTACACAGTTTGCTGTATTGAACGCTTCGATTTAGATAGAAAATCTGTCTGGTTAAGGCGATTTTACAGATGGAGCGAAACATCTGTAAAACGACCCAAGGCACCGATAAATGAAATTTTATATTCTGAATATGTTTTCGAATTTAATGAATTTCAGCATGTAGTTTGTTTATGCCATGTTGAGTTTGTTAAATATGGCAAAAAAATACCAGTTAATCTTCAACATCGTGGTGCTGGAAATCATGTACGTTTAATTTTTTATTAATTTTCACAAACACTAATTCTAACTTAATATATTGCATGATCAGTTTTACTTTTCAAGGAAATATGACCGGATAACTAGAACAATTCATCCTATTAAATCAGAATCACAGAAACTATCAGAAAACTTTCCCAAATATTCCTTTAAAATAGGCAACACATATAAGTTGAAGTGTCTTGATCTATTTTGTGGAGGTGGTTCATTGGGCCGTGGATTTGAGGATGCAGGCTTCATACACTGCCAATGGTATGTTTGTTTGCTTTCGTGAATATTTGATTAAGTGCATTCGATTAAAAATTTTTCGGATAATATATAGGGCTATTGATAAATACGAGGCTGCCATAAAAACTTACAGGCATAATCTTCAACATGATGACATTGATATATTGAATCAGAGTGTCAATAATATACTTTCTGATGCAATTTCGGGCGTTCCATCAGCTCGAGTTCCATCTAAAGTATGTTATTTATTATTTATTACTATGTCTTTTGTTTTATTTATTCAAATTAACCATTTTTTATAGGGTGATGTTGAAATCATACTCGCTGGCTCACCTTGTCAAGGATATTCTTACATGAATAGACAACGGCATAATCTCAAGGCACAAAGAAATAATTCTCTTGTTGCTTCCGTTATTTCTTTTGTGGATTACTACCATCCGCGATACCTATTATTGGAAAATGTTCGGAAGATTACGTCATCGGATGGTAAATTTTTGATATACACAACAAATGGAAAGCTTCTACATATCTAATATTTATATTATGATAGTATTTTATCGATTAATTGGATGTCTTCTTGAGCTTGGGTATCAAATCCGGTTTGGTGTTGTATCAGCCGACAGAATGGGATGTGCCCAAAAACGTTATAGAATGTTTTTATGGGGAGCCGGTAAGTCATGTTGCTGTTAAATACTCAAGAAATATCGCATGTGTTTAATTTTTTTTTTTACTTTTTAAAGCTCAAGGAGAGGTCTTACCGACGATGCCACCAGTTACTCATAAGGGTCTAAAAGATGACACATTTGAAACTTATTCAAGTTTTCCTATGGTTTCAATAAAGGATCATATAAGTGATCTTCCTCCAATCGGTGAAGGAGAAATCTGGTATCCTTCATTCCCGGACCACAAGACTTATCAAATGAGTGTGAAAACCAAAGAAATTCTTCGAAGGATACCAACATTCCCACCAGCAAGAGACTATTATTACGCTCGGAAGCACAAATTTATATCTGACTTACACGCTATACCGAGTTATGACGCTAAATTGATAAAGTTTCCTAAAGCAGCACAACGTTACAGATATTGTCAGCGGATTGACCCAAGTGGTTTATTTCCAACAATATGCACAGTAATGCGTAAGTAAATCCATGGCATCATAGATTTTACGAGTACTTATAACTCTTACTATTAAACCAATAACTCTTATTATTAAACCAAACTAGGCCCTAGCGGATATTATCCAGAAGCTGTTCATTATAAGGAACCGCGAATGGTCAGTGTTCGTGAGGCGGCGCGGGCGCAAGGTAAGTTTATATAACAATAATATACATATATATATATATATATTACGTTTACTTTTAGTTAATATTGTTTGCAGGTTTTTTAGACTCTGATATTTTATGTGGAACAATCGGGGATCAATATAAAGTCATTGGTAAATTTATAAATTATAATTATTTATTAGTAAATGATATACTGATTTTTATGGTTTTTTTTTAGGTAATTCTGTACCGCGTAATGTTGCTTTTTCGCTTGGACTCCAACTTGGACGTGCACTTTGCGATTCGCGTCATGAAAACGCAGCGAGCACTTTTCAATCTAATTGATTTCTTTTAATCTTTTGATACGATTTCAATTTAAATATAATTTTGTACATTGGACGATTAGAATATCAGACTTTCATCAGCATATTATATAATAGATAAAAGTTCATATTTGTACAGATTATGCATGTTTAATAAATTGTGAAAGTTTGTAGATTGCTACAAATACTATACGTATCATTACTAATTGTTAAAATAAATAAATTGTACATATTGAACCATCAGAACTATAAAGTTTATAGCTGTTCTCATGAATTTTGGAACATCTAGTGAAAAATTGACCGATTCGATAAATTATTGATTTCGGCATGACCAGTGTAATGTTTATTATTTACGAAGATAGAGGTCGTCTAAAGCGGATCTTCCCCAGTATCGCCAACAAAATTTTTCCGATCACGTGATTATCGATAAAATTGTCTAAGTTCGTTTATGTTAGGGTTAGCGTCTAAACTAAAGTTGGATGTTAAGAAGAATATAGTAAAATTACTCGAGGAATTTTTTTTGTTAATGCATGAAGAGTTGTTTCTTAAGTGAATTTTTGAGATAAAGGCAATTTTTTCTAAACGGACGTTTGTTTTGTGATTTTTTGATCGCATAACGTTACACCAGATCAAGATTCTTTATTGGCTAATTTTTGTAGATCATCACGTGATTGAAAATTTATTATGCCTTTTGCAAAACATTCATTTTTGATACACCTGCACCTACTTTTTTGAGGGGTCGTCTAAAGCCATGTATCCACGTGACTTTTTTATGTAAATCAACCAACCGGAATTGCGAAATTTTGTTTACACGGATCAGCCCGAAGAAGTCAA